GGACCAGCAGGTGATGTAGTGGTTAAGGCAATGGACTCCCAAATGGCTGATCATGGTTTGACTCCCAAAACCTTAAGAAAACAAACAAACAAAAATCCTGCATTAGCCCACGGCATAGTGGTTGGCGAGGTTGGATCCTACATGGCCAACACGGCGGGACTCAAGTCTTAGACCCAGCTTGACAAACATGTCAAACCCTCTCTCTCTTTCTCTCTGTGTCTCTATCTGGTCAAATTAAAATAAATGAATGAATAAATAAAATAAAATACATAATTTAAAAAAAGAATTATTTACTTATTTAATTTGACCAGAGTGTATGTCCATATTTAAAATTCCAATCAGAGGGACAAATGGAAGAGAAAGAATCACAATAAGACCATGTCAATGGGGAGATGCTTTCTCGTTCTCTCTCTCTCTCCTGCCTCTCTCCGATAAATTCATGTCTACTGGCAAAGTTAAAAAAAAAAAAGATAGTATCTCAGACATTAGTTAATAATGCACATATTTCACACCCACATAGTCTTATCACTCTCTCCTCACTGTAAATCAGAACTGTAGTTTCCAAGTTTAACTGTGTTTTCTCCAAGATCACGCTAGAACTACGGTATTTTCCAAATCCTTTATCTTACAGAACTCTTCCAGTATTGCCTCCTCTTTCAGTATAAACAAGCCATATGTATATAAAATACAGACAAACAGATTTAGTAGAAGTATTAGATACAAAATATTTTATATAACGTGTTTAATATGTATAATTTTTTGAGAGTTTTTTGCTATAGGGTGTCTTTGCTCACCAGAAAGACAAAGAAAGAAAAAGAGAGAAATCGCCATGCTGCAATCCCTTCTCTCCATTCTCCTCTTGGGATCTTGGGCATGTGCTCGCTTGCACCTAGTGTGAATTTAAGCCACCGAGTCTGGGACTCAAACCTGAGAGTCCAGCAACATAACCATTACTCCATCTACCGGTCCCTAAGATCTATTTTTTTTCCCTTTTTTTTTGGAGAGATTTTTGCT